GAAGCGTTATGCTCTGCTTTGGCTTCGAGCTCATGAACCTTGCTAGCTTCATCGTTTCAAAGTTTAATTGGTCTTTCCTTAAAATCGCCTCTGCTATTCTCATAGACTTGCTAAGAAGTGCAAGCATTACTACAGTACTCCACCTTCCATTTACGCTTACATTATCCTACAAAACCTCTACCACTGCTAGCAATATAGCACTAGTGGATGTTACAACATTATCACTTCCACGCTATGCGCCCCCCCCCCTTGGTCAACATGCTGACGTGCAGTCTGCACCAGCTCCTTGTCCTCCTCCTCGAGGAAGTTAGTGCTCGGCATTATTCACGAATGATTTAGCCACCGTCCTACTATGACATTCAGTATGAAATTTGTGGGGAGAACACACTAGCACACATGCTGATTTGAGTATGTAAATTCAAAGGAGAAAAATCTTCGCTGAATTGCTATTGTGATTTTTAAGGAAGAACCAATTAAACTTTGAAACGATGAAGCTATAAAGTTTATAGTAATAATCTATGTCGGATCCAAGTAAAGAACCCATCGTAAAGGATGTAGGTCTACTGTGATCAATGTAGCAGCTTCTCTGTTGTTTTCCATTTGGACTATAGCTACTAATGGACGGGCAGAATTTCAACATAGTGGCATGAATTCAGCTCGTAAGCGATGCTGGTAGAGTGCTCGTGCTACGACGAGAGTGTATCGTCCCAAAAACCTATTGGTACTTGTATGCGCTTTTGGAAAGTACTAAAATAGTACAACTGATGCGAACAATTCAAATATGGCGCGAAGCTGAAGTAGTCGAAAAGATACGGGCTGTGCCCCCCCCAGGGTTCACATCAGCAATTCCACCAATAAGGTATTTGTACTCATAGTGGCATGTCGTGTGATTGGTGGAGCCACACATTCAAGAGTTGTGATTGGAGGAACCGTGGCTTCAACAGCGTGCTCATGGGGCGAGCGAATATGGCTTCAAAATCTCGCCGTGTGGATCGCGGCAAATTAAGGCTCATTTCCAAATTCGACGAAAGCCGCACAAGTCCAGCAGCTCAATGACCGCCACTGTCTTCTTCGACCACACTGGTGCTGCCTCCCACTCCCGCACAGCCAACCCAGAAATAATCGGCAAGGCACTGATCCGCTTTGGCTAGGCGGGGCCTTGCTTGCCACATATGGATATTCATCGACGGACCCGAGCTACCGAAGAACTTGTTCGGTGGTACACCCATCTGCGGCTTAACCAAGGAGATGCGGGAGGGCTTGGTCATGGCAGGTTTACCTGAGATCACGACCGAAGAGCTGATCACCATCCTGTGGAACGCCGAATGCGTACTCTGCTCCCTGGATCTCCTTATCGCCTCGGATATCGTCATCGGTTGCCCCGCATTCAAACACCTTAACGGCTCGGTGCACGTCGGATGCGAACACAGTCTCAAATGCTAGATGTACTACCACATGGCGCAAGTGAGCACAACCCGTATTTAAACGGCAGACGTACCCCGTCCAGGGTCGATCCGTTGCAATAACATAACTACGCTGGACGGAAATGGAGCCGTCACCGCGGAGCTACTTATAAAAATGGCGAATAATGGGTCCAGGGTTTTGCGTACACGTACTAAGCTCTAGGAAAACCGTCAGACCTCGCACATATACACTGCCCTGATGGCAGAAGTGTAGGAGGTGTGGGCAAGGTCGTGCTCTCGCCATGCCACCACAGCGCTGCCGAAAGGCTCTCCGCGCGTTATACAAGTGCTCCTCATTGCCGCTAAGGTGAAGAAAGGCCTTCTCAGGATCAAGCACGTCTACGACCACCAAAGGATTTCTGATCCGCTTTCGAACCGACGAAAGTCAGCAAAACAGATGTACTGGAGGTCTCGTGGCACGTCAGATTTGTACGCAACCACCACTGCAGAGCGGCAAAAGCGTCAGACTACTGATGTGCTTATTTAATGCAGTTGATGAAGAACCGCTGAAGGAGCCGCAGTACGCTAGCATACACGGCTACGAAGCTGCTGAACGACTCGCTGCCCACCACATACGCGTCCAGCTACCATCGTAGCTACTGAGGATCGCTGCGAGCTCGCTACGGTGAAGTCTCTTAAAGATAGCGTAGAAGACCAATCCAGTTGACGGTCTCGTACGAGGATAAGGTGCTGGTAGGCATAACCGGAAGTAATCTCACGCAATAAGGCATTCTTTTGATTTGAGCGTTTCATTATCTACAGTGGAGACAACCACGTTACTTCTTCTCGCGCTGCTTGCGGTAAATTGCTTCAGAGGGGCTCACACCTTGGCTTCCGCGCCGATAGAATCTAACAAGAGGTAGCGTGTCAGGCTCCATGACAACAGGTTTCTTTTTGCGCCACTTGTATGACCGGTAGTACATGCACTTGGTGCATTGGCACTGCTGCCATTGAAGCTTGTTAGCTTGCTTCGCCATTACATAGATGACGTTCATGGCCATACTCAGATACACAAAAATAGTGTAGCCATGCTTTTTGTGAAACCCATCCTTCTTGTGAAGGTAAATATACTCTTTATCAACAGATTCGCCCGCCTTCATTTCGTTGTAGAATTTGAAGTGCTCATCGAGCTTTGTCCGCGTATACTGAAGGTAGACTTTCAAGAAATATAGGCGATCGTGAAGTTGGTTGCGAGTAATATATACATATCAATAACAAATCAGCCACTGTATTTAACTGACACAGATCTAAAAATCAAAGTCGTACATCCGAAATTTCCATGGAGGATCGAAACCATCTCAACATCATGATGTATTCGTGAAGGAGGTGATGATTGCCGGCATAGAGCCCTGTATAAACACTGTACATTTGTTTCACTGGGAGGGCCCCAACGAAATCATCAATTTTGGCATAAGAGCCAAAGCTGTGCTCACGCTCCTTAAAAACAAAACGCGTCAGCGTAGACACTATTATCGGATAATAGACGTACTCAGCGTACAAGGTGGTCAAGCGAATAGAAAACAGGGTATAAATTGTCGAATTCGATAGGCTTGCGAGTGCCGCAGTGAAGTACTCAAGGGCCTGGCTTACACAAGAATCAATAGCTTAGAGCTTTAAAAACGAGGGTATAATACACGCACCATGTTGAGATTGACGTCAGAGCCCTCATTCCGGCCCAGCATCTCCTTTGGGCTTGGTAGCTGATTAAACACGCTACACACTGGCACGTGTGAGATTGAACGACAGACCGGGTCTTCAGACTCGACACGAGTCATCTTCACGGGAGACTGCAAAATCTAGACTGAACGGAAACTAAGTACATGCACGTTGGGTGGCACTAGAAAATGGCTTCACAGCTGCCTTATACATTTTTTGAGTAAGTTACACAAATTAAAATCTGGAGTAAGGGTACGTGCATCTGCGCTTGTCGACGCAATACGACTTGAAAATGAAACTATAGCGAGTTTAGCCTTCTCGCCAAGAAGTTCGCATAGAGAAACAATTATAGAGCTGTTGCCGCTAGTCATGGCAACGCAGCGAGATTGGTAGAGCTTCGTAGCTACTTCTACTACCATCGCCACGTTGTAGGAACCGGTTGGCTCTACAAGCGCCCAGAAGTTTGTGTTGCACCTCTAGTACTGAATTCGCTGACACCCAGGCAGGGAAGGGATACGTAGACCCCGGAGTTGGTTCTTGACAAGTAGGTCGAGTACGTGTCAATGATGTCGGAGATCATGGGCGGTATTTTTGTGCCACGCGAGTGCGCCTTGCACTGCGTAACATGCAGATCTCATCAGGTGGAAGAATGAACTCTGTGACCGTGTAACGGAGTTACATGGTGTGGAACACACAGGGGTACGGAGTACCCGGAGAGTTAACAAACTCTCAGTACATAAGTTGGAGAGCTAACATACTATCGGTACATAAGTTGGAGAGCTAACAAGGTCTCTCAGTACGTTGGCTGAAAGCCACACGTTATGCATTTGATTAGGTTTAACTATGCTAGATAGTTAAACAGATACATTCACCCCTAGGCGGCTTGGCCGCAATAATAGTAAATAAAACACTTCTGGATTTGAAGCATAAAAGCTAAAGTATGAACTTTGAGCCCTGGTCTTTGACTGTAAGTGTCCTTTGGATAGGCAACTTAGTATTAGTGACTCTTTGAGTCGAACGTCTTCCTCTGACGCTAAAGCTACGGCAGCCCCACTTCAGACCGCCTCTTCACCGGTATACTCAGCTGCCCTACCGGCGGGGGTTGGTTCTCAAGCCCACGTAGTGATAATGCATTCTTTCCAGCTTCATAACCGAGCGTAGACAAAGCCACCGCCCTATATAGACCGTAGAATGTCCTCGATGCGAGAGACCGTTTCGGGCCTGGCCGGTAGTAGATAGAGCCACATGGCTTTGATTACACCCTTGGGCATGGTCAGCACACCGTCGACCGTCGATGCGGGCTTGCACTTGACATCGATCCTGCACAAATGTTGTGGTCGATGCTAGTGGAGTTGCATCTACGGATGTAGCGGTAGCGCCGGTCAGGCTGTCCAACTCCGGTGATTGTGCAGTTTAGGCACAGTATGTGTACGCCACACGGATCAAGAGGTCATGTAGGCCACGGTACTCCCCTTATTGACTTTATTTCGTAAGCGAAAACTGGCTGAGATGGCTTCCAGCCAATCACTATACAGAAAAAAAGACAGTGCAAAATGATACCTACTTCTGCTCCGGTTTTGCACAAAACCTCTACAGCTGCATAATATTAGGACAAAAACCTCGCACATTTGGTGCTGTAGAAGGGTACTTGAAGTATCCTTTTAGGGCGTTGTACTTGAAGTTTGTAAGGGGTCCCTTCAAATAGAAATGTATGGCGTTAACGATAGGGTTAGCGAAGCTTCAGTGATCTAATTTTGCTGATATCCCGACTTTCAGCTTAATACGTAGTATTTTCCCCAACTTGCTGCCACATCATCGCATGGCGCAACGGCATCTCACAACGCTCAGTCACCCTCACACTTTTCCTTCTCGGCTGTGTTGCCTCATCCGAGCAGCAGGGGGCGATGGTGCTTCAGCTCTTCGTAAATGGGCCTCCTGGCTCGGGTAAAACCACGCTTGCTAAAATGCTGTGCGAGGAGTTCAACCTTGAATTTGTCGCGACAGGGGAGCTGTTGCGGGAGAACATGAAGATGCAGACAACGGCAGGCCGCAGAGCCCAGCGCTGTATTGCTGCGAACAAGCTAGTCCCTGATCGCGTGGTGCTCGACATGATGGAAGCCAAGGTTGCGAGCTGCACAGCGCGCGGTCGTACAGGTTGGGTACTGGACAGCTTCCCACGCACGACTGACCAGGCCAAGTCGCTAATTGCAAAGCCTCACCTCTGTCCTGCCGTTGTGATTCTACTCGAGCTATCCCAAGAAGACTGCACTGGCCGTATCACTGGCCGTCTCTTCGATCCTGTGACGGGTGCAATCTTCCACTCACCAAACAGTCTTCCGCAAGACCCGGTAGTTCGTGCGAGGCTCTCGAGACGGCGAGATGATACCAGTGAGTGTCTTGAGCCTCGATTTGAGGCGTATCGGACTTTCGGAGAGGCGACAAACGAGATCTTCGTTAGCTGTCAGGCCGTAGTGCATCGAATTGACGCCTCCATACCATCGGCCGCATGTGTAGAAAACGTCTCAGCGCTGCTCCATTCGCTGGTGACAAAACCTCAAAAAAGGTTTCCCTTTTGCAGTAGTAACAACAACAACCAGGAAAACAACAACCAGGCTCAGAGCACTGATAATAAGAAAGCTGTGCATCCTCAACGTCCACAGACCATTCACGAGACACCGGATAAGGACGACGACATGCAGAGATACCAGTACGATTGGGAAGACGATAATTCAACTGGTACCAATCAATGCAAAAGTTGGCAAGCTCCGAAGAAACCATCTGAACCGAAGAAGCCGCGTGTTGCTTCTCAACCACTTGAGACTAAGCAACTATCCTCCTCGCTCATGGCAGTTCTGCCCCTACCCGTTCTCTCATCAAAGCTAGGCACTTCAACTGAACGTAAATCTCTTCCTCCTCCTCCTACTCCTCCTCGTGTACCAATGCTACGACCGCTACCGACACCAACAGACAGACTAAAGACCCTCCAAGGATCCAGCGAAGCCGTAAACTCACCCATTCAGTCTGTGATAGTGCGCGACTCGACCAGTGTTCGAAGCAGTAGTGGTAGCAGCGTTCAGAGTAACATGAGCATAACAAGCGTGGAGACAGCGGCTGCGTCTGTTGACATGGACACTTTCAAGGAGCTGCTCCTAGACGGATTCGAAGCCGTAAAACACGGTCGGCGTGGTCGACCACACCCGCGACTCATCTTCACCGACCTTGAATTCAAACGAGTTTTCTGGCAGAAGGCTATGGGTCCAGCCGATCGAGTAGGGAAAGGCAAACACGCGCGTCTGGAGCAGAGTATTGTCGTCGGGGATGTGATTCAAGTCGCGCGTGGTATGAAAACGGATGTGCTCAAGCGATCCGGCAATGTTGCACGTTATGAGTGTTACGTATCTCTGGTCACGCCCAGACGTACACTGGACTTAGAATTGCCAACCCCCCAGTTAGCCGACTTCCTGCAGCGAGGGTTCGAACAGCTTTTGCATCTCTGATGAGACCTGGATGCGCAGTCTTCATTGCCAGGTCCTTGGGACAGCATGCCCAGTTGAGCAACAATGCGGCGACTACATGTAGAATCCGCCGCAATGGGGCAATTAACTCTGCACCCGAATAACTGCTCGATCCAGGTTGGTGGGTATCACGGTGTAGGGCAAGTCCGGTAGCTACGGTAACGTATCTCAGGGTCTTGGGGAACGGTGCTTTTTCATGTAGTTGTAAATCTATCCACTAGTACTGCTTCGTGAATTGCAGATAATCCTTGCTGGACGGTAACTTCTCCACGAGCAGGTCGGAATACTTTTCAGTAGCTTCAGCCGCTGTAGCCTGTGGGGTAATACACACGTATTTCCCTTGCTTTCACTTCTAAGGAGTAGACAGCTACTACTTCGGGGCCGTTAGCAGGAATGAGTCAAGCACTGGCAGTACCTCCACAAAGTTGTGGCCCGTGCTAGTCGGTTATTATACGTGAGCATTAGGCGATCTAGCACGAATAGCGTACGAACCGACTCGAGTCTCATGATTGGTCAAAATATTGCATGTTAGAGTGGCGTGGTTCCATAATGCGATTAAATGCGATTAATTGCGACTGATCTCCTCGCCACACATCACTGCCTTCATTAGTGGAATGTGGAGTCTAAAGGGGCTTCAGCGGGCTCTGCCTGCCACCCGCAACGCTCGTGTGGCGTTCGCCAGCTCTGCTGCAGCTGTGCCCGCCTTTGAAGGTGTTCGTCTTAACAACCTACGCGACAATGACGGAGCGCACAAGCGCGGAAAGCGTCTGGGTCGCGGAATTGGCTCAGGTAAGGGCAAGACGTCGGGACGCGGACACAAGGGACAGAAGGCACGCTCGGGCGGAGGCTCTGGTCGCGGACCCGGCTTTGAAGGAGGTCAGACGCCGCTGTACCAGCGCGTGCCTAAGCGTGGCTTCAACAATAAGTTTGCGACGCCCATGGAGACCGTGAACTTGGACAAGCTGCAACTCTTTGTGGACATGGGTCGCCTAGACGCCAGCAACAAGATCACCATGAAGGATCTTGTAGACTCTGGACTCGTGACATGTTCGCGCGTTAAGCATGGTATCAAACTGCTCGGTAGTGGTAGCCAGCACCTCACGGCCAAGCTGGACATTGAAGTCTCGCAGGCCTCCGAGTCTGCTATTAAAGCCGTGGAGGCGGCCGGTGGCAGCATCGTGTCAGTCTACCATAACCGTCTGGCGCTTCGTGCGCTGCTTAAGCCGCACAAGTTCGAGACGCTCCCGCAGGCGGCGCGTCCGAACCCCAAGAAGCTCACGTACTACACCAACTATGAGAAGCGTGGCTACCTGTCGCCGGAGATTCAGGTCAAGAAGGCGCTAGCCAACGCTAGCAACGCGGAATAGACATGTGAGTTGGAGGGAGGAGAAAAAAAAAACAAGGAGAGATGTGGTGCATCTGAAGAGGGATGAATGGAGTGCTGCTTTTTCTCTTATGAGTCAAAAATGGTTGAAACTTTCTCTGCTGTAGTTGTGATAGATGTTGCCAGTTACTGACCCTTCTTCTCGCTTTTACGCTGCTTTGTTCGCTTCCAACGTGAATAATCCACGACTGCGTCCATAAAGATGAGAAAGACAAATTGCACAACTATGACGAGCGGCAGCGCCGCGGTTTCCAGCACCGTGTTGTGTCTCGGCGTGACTCCGTTCGACAGGATGCGCAGAAGATAGACAAGCGGGTCTGTCGTAATGCTGAAATGGCCCTTCGCAATTCCGTTTATCATCGTCTGTGCTGCAGCCTCGGGCGAGAGAGGCGTGCTGACTCCTTCAATCGTCTTGGTCTCAGGTGGCGTGAGTGCTAGCTCGTGCTCAAGCATTGGAGTGTCAACGTTGCCAGGGTAGAATGCACTAACGCGGATGTCGTACAGCTTCAACTCGTTGCGTAATGACTCAGCCAGACCTCGCACAGCGTACTTGGAAGATGAGTACTGCGCACTGCCAATGCAGGCCATGAGCGAAAAGGCAGACCCAACAAGAACGATTTGTCCCCCCTCATTACCACCTTCCGTATCACGCTGCTTGATCATTGCTGGCAGCGCCGCGTGTACGACATGGATGCACCCAAAGTAGTTGATGTCCATTGAGCGCCAGAACCCTGCGACGTACTGCTCCATGAAGTAGCCAGGCTCCACGATGCCAGCACTACATATGACATGGTCCGTGGCACGCTTGTGGAAGGAATTTGCAGCCTCCACCGCCTTCTTGACTCTCAAAGTCAACGACATCGCAGGATTGCATGAACACCGGGAAATCTGCGTGTTTGCGGACTGCTTCAATCTCTAGTTTTGCTCTTGCCAACTTCTTGGCGTCGCGAGCGATAATGGAGACTTTAGCACCTGCTTTTGCATACTTCTTGGCCGTCGCCAGGCCAATCCCAGAGCTACCGCCGGTGATGAAGACGTGCTTCCCTTTCACGTGGAAGCCTGGAGCGCGCGCTTTGGTCACCATATATGACTGCCAAGACAAAAAGCAACCACTGTAAGCGTGCGATCCTTAACAGCACAGCACAAAACTCACCAGTAGCGAGCAGCCCGCCACTGCGTACAACACCGTCCTTAAGTCCATTTTGGCGAGCTAAGTCCAGCTTCTTGCGATGTGCATCCCCTTTTGTTAATACTGTACAGTCGTGCACCTCCAATTCGGCAGGGCGGACCGCCAGCACAACGTAAAGCAAAAAACAAACGCAAATCCAGTGCACTGATATTTGATTTGTTAATTCAGTACAAAATTTACGCTTAGTTCTGAGACGATGCCTGTGTGGCACCAACAGTTTCTAATAGTCTTTGCAGATATGTTGTTCCAGCCTTCAGACAACCACTTCATGGCGGAGTAAACGTCGACCGGCGTGTAAGGAGCACCCTTGTAGAACAGGTCCAGCTCGCGGCGTGCTTCTTGTTCTGGTACTCATTCTTCAGGCACTTAATGATGCCCTAGTCCATGGGCTGCAGTACGGCAGTTGTATTAGGCGGGAGCTTGCGAATAGTAACATTGGATAGCTCAATAGAAGCGTCGTTGTGCGACGAAGCATTGTCAACAAGTAGTAGTACTTGTCGTTCTTCCAGCTGCATACGTTCATTTAGCGCCAAGAGCCAATCACAGTACTTTACCGTATTCATCCACGCCTTCGCCGTATTTGTGTAGGTAGCTCCAATTTCGACTAGAAGGTCGCGATTTTTTAGGGGGCGCGGCACTTTAGACCGACCAATGAAGTGCAGCGGAAGCTGCTCCGTGCCATCGGCGTTGGTGGCAACGCACACGGTGATCCGGTGCTTGCTCTGCTTCCTCCCCTTCTCTTTCTTGTTCACTGTTAGTGATCCTCGCGGTTCCCGGCGGTAGAATAATGCGGTCTCGTCCATATTGAAGACGTCCCGGGGGTGGTATTCTGAAACAAGTGCTCGAAGATCTTTAAGCCCCTCTCCCACTGCTGCGTCGTCCACGGAGGCCCCCTCCCCATGTCGTAGCGAAAACCACAGCCCTGTGCGCTGCTGGAAGCGGTACAGCCACCCTCGACTAGGTGCATTGCCTCCGGGTAGCTGTACTCCTTCACGCTTTGTAATCATTAGTACCGTAGAGCCCTGAATAGTTCCGTTTCCGTGCCAAGTCTTGAGCTCGTCAATCTTTTGCATAATCTTGGCGTCAGACGCGCGAATCGCGGGCGCGCAATAGCGCTTCCGGTCGTGATAGGCATCTGGCAAGGCGGCAACGTCCGCCGACCGCTTAAGAATACTCTGGACGGTAGTGCGCTTTACTGCTTGGGGGGTCTTAAAGCGCTCCGTTGCCCAACGAGCAAGTTCGGAGTGAGAGCATGCAGGATCTGACTTGTGCTTCTCGCACAAAGACTGCTTTTGTGCTAGAGCTAGGGACATGTAGGAGGAAGGGCGATGTCCCATTGTCTTTGGCGGTAAAAATCAAAGAAGTGTGTTTGTATGAAGACGTCCCATCCAAAATTTAAAATCAGATCGATGCGGCGTGTCATCCCTCCGCGAGGAGGGAAACCCCGTTGAGGTTAATTGCTAGGGTGGTGATGGGCAAAAGTAATTGCGCATCCGATTCGCGTAATCATCAAATCTGGCAGGGTATCGACTGATACCGGTGCCGAATTGGAGGTGCACGACTGTATAATAATGCCCCTCTTGTTGCAGATAATGTATCGTACACTTTTTTTATTTTTTAATGTAGTACAATTAATATACATGTATAATAGCGTAATATGTACGTTCGACCTCATAACCCTGTCAAAGTTGTTTGTACAGCGGTAAAAACAGGGTTTAGGAAGTTGTAAGATTAAGATTATTGTGCTTTGCAGCTGTAAGGTACATCCGTTTTAATGGGAAAAGGCAGGCATCGATTTGTTTTATCTGTGATCGAATTACCCACTTATTGTGCATTTCAATGCTTTTGTCCTTTTCACTTTGCCTGATGCTCGATTTATAATAAATAGAGGTCGTTTTACTAAATCGAGGTCTTTAAAAAGTACAGACCACTCTCACCAGAAACCTGTCAAAGCTGTTTGCGTCCTTTAAAGATTTTTAACTGCCGGATCTTCCTCCAGCGGTCGGCGGCGCTGGTTGGCGTTCTTGAGACGTATCCATCTCATTGTGAAGCGCAGACAAACCCAGGGAAATGGTGGAGAAACGAGTAAGCAAGACCGTGATCGCGCCGCATACGCTTGAGTTCGCGCCAGCGTGCAAACAACTGTCGCTGGTGTTGCTGGCCATCTTCCTCATCAGCTTCACTGTCACCTGGTACAAGGTCTGGTGGGATACGCTCATCAGCATCGGCGTCATGGCCTACGGCTACTGGATGCTTAGAGACACCAACCCGGCTAACCTCGATCCAACTCGAGTGCGACGCGTACGTGCCGCTGTGGTTCTTTGACGACCTCACTCGAATTGTAGCTGACATGAATATTGCAGTTCCACCACGGCACCATTCTCAGCTTGGTCTGCCACATTGTTGCAGTAGGCGAGACCACCTACATGGTCATCAAGCTGTACTTGCTGGACAAGATCGTCGATGTCGAGGAAGGACCAGGCGTCCCACTCTTCGTGTTCCTCTACTTGTTTCTGTTGTTCGAAATCGGCGTTACGGTGCGGATATACCGGCGTAAACTCGGTAGCAAAACGAGTTATAATGCTGACATGTCTGTCGGTTGTTCGAACAGTCATTCGCAGTGGAGAGGACGTACAATCTTTGCCAGGAGATCTCACGTAACGAGTACTTCTTGGAAAGCGAGGCTCGCGTGTAATGAAAGGCAGCTACACGTAGTGCCACAGCGGGCACAGATCCTTACTTAGTTGGTTAGCTGTGTCATAACGCTTACCTCTTTTAAATGCAGTGTATTAATCCTTCATTAAGACGAAATTCATTGTCAATGCCCGATCATTAATATATATTCGTGGGTCCATCGCCCTGACTTTTAGTATCGAAAAACCTACATGCCCCCCCCCAATGTCCAGTCTTTTCGGACTTACCATTGGCTAAAAAAAAGCTTCAGCCAGTTATTAGTTACCGGTATATAGCGTCGATGTCTATTTGAGCGCTGCGCGTGCTTATATGGCACTTCGTAACAAGGGTTATTTAATAATGGTAACTCCAAGTTAATATTGTGATAATATCACCTGGTAGACCAGTTAATTTAAAAAAATAAGCCGAGCGCCGCCGCTACGTGGCGGTAGTTTGAGTTACGTCCTGCTTGGTAAGGTCTTTCGCCTCCGCTTCGCTTCGGCGGGACTATTTTACTGGTACACGAATAAGTGTAAATGGATTCTTCATTTTCATTACATGTAATCGGATTACAATATGGACTACCAAGCACGCTGTTTAGCGGTATCTACAATTATAGTTAAAAAATGTCGTAAGTTAGAAGTAATTAGCAGTAATGTTGAAAAAAGTGTATTTGTTAAAAATTGAGCTCCAAGTAAGCTGCGCAATATTTCTACAAAATATTGAGTCTCCACCATGTTGTTTGTATCACTATTACAAAACATGTTTTTTCTGGTCAAATGTGATGATATACAGCTACGAAATAATCAAGTATCTTACCAAATATAAATGTATTCCGCTTCTACTACTTACAATCAAACGCTATGTAAGAAACTGTTCGCAAGCGTTGTTGTTGTTTTTTGTTGTTGTTTTATTGTCCAAATTAGAGCTCTATACCGGTACTACGAGCTTGTCGGGAACCCGTCCACCCATAAAGTAGTTTTGTTCTTCCCAACATACCGGTAATATGAGGCGACACACACTTCTACGCGGCACAATTTTTTTACTCAAACTATTTTCAAAAAAAAAAGTACGACATTGCTTATTATATTTTACTGAGTTCCAATAGAAACAAAAGAGCAAATATGGAAAGAAACATATTTTGAGCCACAATAACAAAAGAGAAAGTGTCAAAAGTATTTATACCTTGGGTCAATGGAAATACTTTATCATGTATCCATTTAGATGTCTAGTGTGGTGTCGGAATTCCCACGTGAGATCTAGCTACAGATGTAGTTAGGACGCTCCCACAACAATACGTCTACTAGGATAGTAAACGGTCGTTCGGGCGGACCTGAAGACAGCTCTACCCTTGCACCGGGACAAACTGGACCTTGTAAACTACTTATATAAGCCAACCAGTAAAAATAAGAACACGCTACTAGCACGAGCAAAGCTAGTATGCGTTATGAATCCTCGTGGTCCCAACAGCGGAAGGGTACCAGGCACGGGTAAGCCTTTTACGAGGTCACCGAGTATTCTTCCAACCGAGTGTTCAACATTCGTGTGGTGAAGTGCTTTCTCAGAAATAAGAGAATGGACCTAACAGGAGTCACTATCCCGAATCAGTGACAGTTTCAAGTGATTAGAGAGGATTTGGATCGCCCGGCGCGGATGCAAGTTGCCTGATGTAACGGGGTACGTAGTCCTAAGTGTACCCTGGTTAAATGAAGTGTGACACTTCACACTTCAGGAGTATGACACGTCATACTCCGGGATATTTGGTACAAGGTACCAAGGTCGTTCAAAGCCAACCATTGGTTAAATGACATTGCATTTCTATTGGTAACTAATAGTTTGTATTAAACCCAAACTTAACCTACCTATAAATATACTCAGTTTACAATCTACCTTATTTAGGTCACTTCGCTCTCTTTAATTAAAGAGGGGACCTGTGAACTGCCGTTCACTGAGAGTTTGTATACTCTCGGAAGATAACTTCCTCTAGCGCAAGGTGCTGTGTGCCCCGTCACACTTGGTAGCACTAGTAGTCAATCCACGCCACCGCGGGTAGACTACCTGAACCTCTCCGAAGTTCGTTGCCATGGATAGGAACGACTTCTCCCATTTGAACGACTCTCAGTCCGAGTCGGTTCGGAAGATGGCAGGCATCTTCGGGATGGAGGCCCTGCAGAGCCTGGTGGTGTCAACACCGGCTGAGCAGCTCGAGCGCGTAAATGCATTCGACGCGTACGAGCAG